CGAGCTCATGCTGAAAAGAGTTAAATGTTCGGTGGGTTGATGATGAAGAACAATTAAGAAAAAAGAAGAGTCAGAAGTTGTATTTTCAGCTAATGAGTACCAAACATTTAAGGCTTCACGTGATTGGTCAATTCATTTCAATACACGTACAAAATGTCAATTCTAAAAACTTGATACTTCAATAAATCAATATTTGTTTGTTTTTTGTTGTTTTGTGATACTTCAATGAATTGATGTTTTTTTGTATTATAGGCCTAAAAGAAAAAAAATGCATTTTCAACCTTCTTCAGGTTAAATTGAACTAGGGATGTAAAGATTGAACAATGTTTCCAATTCACTATCAAGTTCTATTTGCAGATGTATAATATACATAATTAATGGAATATTAATCTTCAGTGGTTGTTCTAAATAAAGTTTTGCTCTAAAAGATACCCAATTGTTGCATCTGTTGTATAGCAAAAGACTAACAATAAATCAATATTGTATCATTGGAACTTTGGGTAAAGTAGACATGGTAGGATCAGGCTTAAAAATATTTTTGTTTGCTTTAACCCTAAACTGATTTAAAATTTAGGTAGGTAGGTAGGTAAATATCTATATATTTTTTTTAAATTGTTTGGCAAAAAATATTTTGGAAATAATATTAGTTCTGTGATAACCTAAAACATAACGTGTACAAGTAGTTAAAAGGATGTCAGCATATTGCAAGTTTTTATCAAATTCTTTTGAAACACACACTTGATGGTCAGTATGGACCCGAGTGAAGTTTAATTGACTGTTGCTGACAGTTTTACCATTTGTTCTTTCATTTCATCTCGCCTGCCAAATAAATCTAAAAGTACTTTTCTCCACATGGATAAGTTTCCAGTCGAAATGAATTTGTTTTTGATCCTAATCCTCTACCTACGAGAACATTTTTCGGAGACAGATACACTGAACAGACTTGTGTTCACCATGTTGTTGATGTATGCTTGACAGTAATATATTCTCCCCTGCTAGGTCGTGTATTTATTAGTTTAGTGCGAAGGGCCCAGGGAACGAGATAAGCCATGTTGTCAAACCTCGATACATTGGCCATTCAGCATTGGGCTATCAACTGGTAATCAGGCGATGCCCTCCCACATCATTGCGGAACACGTGAATTTCCAAGAAAAAATATTCTAACCATAATACAGAAATAGAAAAATTTTAAGTTGGGTAATGTTGTTAGGTGGGTCGGTATATCGGTAGAAATTGGTGAAAATAAATAATTTTCCAAGTCATAAGGTCAAATAAATCTCTCGGTTGGGTTACAGCAAACATAAATATTTTTATACCTAGCCTAGGTTTGAGAACTTTATCAATGAGTATTTCTCTTTCCTATTTCTCAGCCGAAAACCTAAATAACTTTCTCTTGAACATAATTGATTAAGATGTCTTCTGTTTATACTCCAGTTTTTGGATCTAAGAATGCTAGAGTTTAATTCTTTCCTTTCAACACAGACCAGTAGGTGTCTTTGAATGGGAAAATTATGCTAAAGGTACCAAAGCTATTATGGATGAAGTTGTAGCAGTTACTCAAAGAGGTGCTACCACCATTATTGGTAAGTTTTAGTAGCATTCATACAAGTTACTTAACCAAAGTTATTCTGTTAATATTTATATTTATTATATTAAGGCCGTTGTTCTCATATCGGGTGTCTGTAAGCTGTTGAACCACTTTCTTAATTGAATGGAATAGAAATCACAGTAGATAATTACAGTTTGTGTGAGACTGAAGTTTTTTCCCACTAGTTTTGATTGGGAGTATGTAAAGGATATGAGAAATATACTGTATATGGCAGTTTTGGATGATCAAATAACCAGTGTAGTTGTAATAATTACTCTGGGGATGTTGGCATGTATGGGCCAAGTTAAATTACCACCTTGATATCTTTTTAGCCATAAATGGTGCTCACATCAAGGTGGACTGATGGTGTCAAATAAACAAAACTGAGGTGTGAGCTTCTATTACACCACAAACTGAATTTGTTTATGTTATATATTTCTCATACTTGTTAATTAATGAAGTGATTCTATAGCTTATGAAAACCTTGTATATTAAATTCATTTAACTCTCTCATCACGGGGTCGGTCAAATCAACCAACCCTGTGACCTCTTAGTACCCATTTTAAGTATTTATAGATTTAATACTTCTAACATCCAATATAGTGTGTATATCTTCACAAAATTTAAGTCTTTCATGTACAAACAATCATATTTCTTAGTGAAGCATTTTTAATAAACAAAAATAAAGGTTTTTACATGAATATATAGTGAGTATTTGTTTTGAATAGTCCATGTGCAAAGTGATTTTCATGTTAAGATTAAAAATTATTTTCTTCATCTCAAATGTCCTTTCTGTAATCCCTAAAACCTCCTAAATACATTTCAAACGTTTGTTTTCAGTGAAACTTTATATTTTATCTGTTATTTTCTCTACCCTAACTGTAAATAGGATCAGTCAATTTGATCGACCTTGTAACCACCAAAAAAAATAATAATAAATCTGAATTCCCCTTTTTTTCTTTCTAGAACGACTTCAAATTGTAACATGAAACTACATTTGTTTGTCCTAAGTAGCTCTAAGTTCGTAACATTATACATCTATTTATCATTAAATTTTATTGTTTTCTTGTGTCATGCGCAGTAAAGGATACCCATTGCGATAAGAGTTGACTGATGTATGTAATTCAGAACAAGTGTGTTGGCATGGTGACTATGTTGCACTGAACTGAAATATTTCATCATGAGAGCTTCATCACTTAGAAACTTTGTAAAGCATTTAATTTTGTAAACTAAGAAAACTGAGAATAATCTGGAGAGGACTGGCTTGTAGAATCCTTTTTGTTATACATTTTCAGGTTAGCTTTGTACTTTTCTCATCCTAACCCTGACTCGTGTTAATTTTTCAGGGGGCGGTGACACGGCCACGTGCTGTGCTAAATGGAAGACTGAAGATAAAGTCAGCCATGTCAGCACAGGAGGAGGAGCCAGTTTAGAACTTTTGGAAGGTAAGTGTTGTAGAAATTCAAAATACCTTTCTGGAACTAATTAAAGTCAACTGGTTTCTGGAAAGTATTAATGGAAATGGAAATAAAGTCCTGTGTTTACATTACAATAAATTTAACAATAATAATTAAGTTGCTGTTATGTGTGTCGAGTCAACTTTACATATTACATTTTCTGGCTCTAATATAGTAAGTTATTTATATGCACAGAAACGCACCTATTCTCGGTGTTTGTTCCATTAAGATTTGCAGGTGCTTAATTTGCTCAAATCTGCACTAATTATTCAGCGTATTTGGGATTCTCCAACAAAATTCATGTACTACTGGTACCTTCTTTAACTTGTTTTCTTTTACAATGCTAAAAATGCCTAAAAAAGTATTTCAATATGGACAAATCAGTGAGAACTGTGGGCCCTCTTTTATTCTTGTTTCTCTTATCTCAGAACGTGCACGTGCACACAAAACCATGCTGATTAGCTATGGCAGTGAGAGATACATGCTTAACATATTCTTTGTCAGTTGCAATGTTATTTTATCTTGTGATAATTATCTCACTCGTTGTATTTAACGATAAATTACATCAAATATTTTTATAAGTAAAAGTACAGAATTTTGTTGTCTACTAACAAGTTTCCTTGTTTAAAGATCTTTTTTTTTGTAGTTTGAAGTTTTAATAACATGATCAGAAGCTTAAGTGGTGTTGATTAGGTAAAATTATTAAGAAAATTGAATTATCAGTGTGGGGGGTCTAGAAAATCTGGAATTTTGTCTGAAAGTAAGAGAAATAACTTTTGGGAAGAATGTGGTGAACCCTAGCATTGGGTGTGGGTGTCTCTCAGTTAATCTTGATTCTGTAATGTATACTGTCTGTTGTGACGATAAGATTGAGAATCGTTGAATATTTACTTGATTATTATGTATAAAACAAAAATACGTTACTGAACAATACATAAAATTCTTGCTCATAGTGCTGCTTTCTCTCTGAACTTTTCATAATTAAGGTATAGAATCAGATGTAGATTTATTATCTTTCTGAGTTACTGCTGTTGAATTGAACAATTATCTTGTTTGAACTTTCTCCCTGTTTTTTATTATTATTATTTATTCAGTTTTAGGAAAACAATATTGTACTTTATGTATGAACTGCCACCTGCTGGATTTTAAATGAAGTGAATAGGTATAATTATTATATAGATTTACATCAAGCATATATTAAGAGGACCTAAAAAACGTGTAGAACAATTGTCTTGTTTTGTTTGTCTTCAGGTAAATGTCTCCCAGGTGTAGCTGCTCTTTCTGATGCTGCCTAAGGTCAAGGAGGAATGTCCAGTCTTTAGTTGTGATGGAAATTCTGTGAGATCTTCGTGTTCTGCTACTATTAAATGTAACATCAAGATAACATATTAGACTACAGCTAATTTGGTTGTTCTCGACACTGTTGTAGATGCTGAGAAACTGTGTGCATGTGGATGGTCTTTTAGTAGTTCCTATTTACTTGATAGAACCTTGTAGTTGATTCTAAAAATCAGTAGGTATGTTGGTAAATACGTTTCTAAAATATGCATATTTAATCAAGACAGTTTATAAGTGAAAATATGTAATATTAACAATACTGATATACAATTAGGCCCTTATGTTAACAATACTGATATACAACTAGGCCCTTGTAATGTTAACAGTACTGATATACAACTAGGCCCTTGTAATGTTAACAACAATGCTCTTAGGTAAGCTTTTCCACCTTGTTAAAATGCGAGTGTAAATGATGGTATTCATGTACATGTACTTTTATTTACAATGTACTTTTTCAGACATTGTTATATTTTTCAATTTACTCAAAATTATATCAAGAAAGGAGTTGTTATTCTTCCTTCAAAATGTTGTTTGTGGTTGAACATGTTTTTTCAATAACTTAATAGTGTGAACTTTTTTTTTTCACTGCCTCTAAAATAATAGTTTACCCTTTTTTTCTTTGAAATGAAGTGTTTTTGAAGTTTTAACGTTCAAATTAACTTGCTGGATGTGATGTTGGTTGCAAGGTTAACTTCTTAAAGATGTAAAATGTTGATGTACTTCCTCAATAAAAGTTTAAATATATAATAAGCTGTGATTTACTGATAATAATGTATGTACAGTGCAGTTGAAAGACAGTAATTCACATTTACTACAAAAACTAGCAAATAAAGATGATAGAAATGTGTATTAGGTCGTCAAGAAATTAGTGTCGCTTTTTTTTTTAGATGAAAAAACCCAAACAACTTGTATATCAAAACAAAATATTTATTAAATGAAATAGTCTTCATTCTTATCGATGATGCTTTTCCATCTTACAATCAGGTTGTTAATGCCTTGGTTAAAGAAATTACTTGGCTTTGAAGCAAAAAACATGACATTGTCCTCTTTAACACCTTCCATATTTGCATACGTTTTCCCATTAAGATGGTGTTGCAGTGAACGAAAAAGATGGTAATCTGATGGTGACATATCTGGAGAATATGGTGGGTGGGGAGAACTTCCCAACCCAACGCCATAATCTTGTTTTGCGTCAAACGTGCTACATGTGGACATGCATTGTCATGGAGAAGAACACCTTTCCGATTGACGAGTGAAGGGCATTTTCTGATTATGGGCTTGATTTAAACGTTCCAGTTGATGACTATAGATCTCTACATTGACAGTTTGCTGTGGACTGAGAAGTTCGAAATGAAT